TTGTGATAAAATGTATAAAGATTAGAAAAAGGTAACACTGGTTATAGGTCTCTGAAGAAGAAAACTAAAAAAAAATTTTTTTTTGAAAGAAATTAGAGTGATGGTTAATAACAGAATAAGATTCTCAAAATTTTCCCATTTATATTTTCCATTAAAAACATTTTTTTTGACTCATATTATGGCCTAAGCACATGGAAGAATCTCTTTCTTTCAGTTAAAAACATAAAGTTTGAAGAGAGACAATAATCCAAAACAATAATTAAAATTTTTAGAGGGGTTAGATAACATTAAGCAAAATATTTCATCTACTCCACTGATTTTTAAAATGTAATTTCTTTAATCGTTTTCTCGTCAAAAAAATTTATTTTTACATCAGTAAATAAAAGGATCAATGTTACGAGATTTTGCCTGTGAAAATAATTTTTATTTAATTTAACTTAATTGAGAGGAGATTCGCAAAATGTGGGAAGAGACAATCCAGTAATTAAATGAAAATTTAATTAATTATAATATTCCAAAACCTATTTTGAAGTATTTTATTAATAAATTGACATTTATGAATTTTTAATAAAAATTTATATATTCTAAAAACAATTTTAATAAATATTGCTTTGAGCTGACATTTAGATTTAAAAGGAAATTTTGGAGAAGAATAAAGCCCTATTATTGCAAAATTTCATACTGTAAAATCAATAAAAAAATCTTAAGAGAATTGTAACTTTTTTTTTAAAAAAGGAATTTCTTTTAACACTCTTGTTTAGTAAAAATTCATATAATTGAAAATTATTATACTATAATTGACTTGTAATATTAAATACTAAACCTATTTAAATTAAAAGAAAAATATTTAAAAGAAATTAAATTGAGGATGAAATAACGTAAAATACCAGCGCAAGGATTCTAAAAATAATTTTAATATGTATATTATGACAGTTAAAAGTAAACGGGTATGAACAAATATAGAGATCCTATTGCTTTTAATAGAATAAAATTAGCAACAATGTAGCGTCATGACCCGTCCGATCTGTTAAGTTAAGCATCGATTAAAATAAATTCAAAAATCTGAAATTTGCTGTAATTCTTTTTAAATTTGTTTCTTTTTTTTTTTAATGCTTAATTATATGTACTATTCTAGACAAAAAATATTTGTAAGGAAAATGAAGTAAAAATTAATTCTATTCTAAAAGCTGGAAGGTAAATGTATGAAAATTAAAAGGTTCAAATTTGTAGGAATCACAGAAGAAAAGTGATGTTAAGAAAATAATAAGAAAAATATTTTATGGCAGTAACAAATAGAGTTCGAGCTTTTCAAATTCCCGGTCTTAAGCTACAAATTAGCCAAAAAAATTACCCTTATAGATTTTAAATATTCTAATGTATTTGACTCCTTAAATATATCATTTCTCATAAATAAATAAATTAAACATTATGTTTTCTTTCTCATTTTGTACTTCTCTGAACACTCTCTTTTTTTTAGTTGTTTTTCCTATCTTCCTATTGGTTAAATTTCTCAATCCCACTTTTGGCTAATTAAAGTGAACAAAATACAGAAAACTGGAGAGAAAAATAATTTAAATTTTCAAATAAAAGGGAGTCAAAATAATAAAGAAAATATTAAAATATATGAGGCTAGAATAATAACAACTTGGAAATAGAGATCGGAAATTTTGAAAAGCCTGGGCCTGTTACTGAGTACCGGTTTGAATTATTAACCCTGGCCGGATTCTGGGCCTGTAGTCCAGGAAAACCCCAGTCCCAGATAAACCCAGGAAGGGGTTTGGAAGGGGCTAAATAAATAGAATTCTTATATAATTAAGCTTAAAAATTAGATTTTTATAAAAATCATAAAAGCAGTGAAGTAATAGCTGAAAATAAAAGAAAAATATATACAGAATTTAGACTTTTATTTACAGGCCTCTTTTAAATCAATCCAGATAGTTTTTCAATAAAGATAATAATTTTTTTAACCAAGGGGAATATAGATAATGAAACTGAATGTGTTTAAAGATACCCTTATTAAAATATGAAATAAAATCATTAAAGGGTGAAGGTTTATAAGAAGAGAATAAATTAATATTTAGAATAATTGAAGGAAAGTATAATGTAATTTCGGCTAACCTAAAAAGAAATTTTTTTCGTTTAATTTCATCCCAAAAGTATTTTCTTTTTTTTTTAAATTTATTTTCTCACTTTTAGTCTAAATATTTCCATTTATCAATTCCTAAGCTCTAATTTCAGCCAATTAGAAATTTATTTGGAATTATTTTTTCTCTTTTTTCAATTAAAATAATTACTGTAAGAGGGATAAATTTAAAAAAAAACTATTGAATAGATGAACAGATCGAAAAGCTGGAAGAAAAGGAAAAATAATTAGAAAGTTTTAAGAACCAATTAATAAACAAACAAAATAATTTATAGAATAAATACTGAAAGAAAAAAAAATTAAAGAAAAATTGCCGGGAATTCCCTAAACTCCAAACCGAAATAAGGTTTAAAGAAAAACTCTATTAACATAATTCTTACTATATATGTCTTCTTCAGACCCAAATAGTGTTTTTCAATGAGAAAAAAAAATTTAATTTATTTCAAAACTCCGAAAATACAAAAATACCCCATTTTTGAGACACTCAAAGATTAAATTTAAATAAATAGAAGTTGAAGGAGAATTGCAAGAAGATTCAAATAGAACATTTAAATTAAAATAATTAATGTCAAAATAGATAAAATATCAGAAAAATTAAATACGAAAATTTTGGGGTGTTAAAAATAAATTTAAAAAAAAATCTTAAAGAGACACTAATTCAAAATGAGGGGAAAAATAAAAATTTTGAATTTTTATTTTAATCAAAATTTTAAACTCACTTCCAATCCAAAACGGTAATTCACGTTCACCGTCACAATGAGTCAACGCCAATCACAATGAGTCAGATATCTGAAAAATCACTAATTTAGTGTTGAAAAGGATTGGAAAATTTATTTTTAATTTACTAATATATATTTTAGGGACGTTTTTTTTTAACTTACAATTCCAAAAATTCAAATCCGGGTAGTAGCCAAAGCAAAATAAAAATTAATTTAAAATTTAGTGTTTTTTTAGACTGAAATTAGTGAAAAAAAATCATTAAATTGATAAGTGTAAATATTTAAAAAAGGATTGTTCAAATATTTTTAAACAGATATTTGACAAAAAATACTTAGGAAAATTTATTTATAATAAAAATTTAGTTAAAAATTATTTTAGAGTTTTATTTTTAAATTTATTTAAAAATTATAAAAATTTATTTAAAAAAATTATGCACATATAATAAATTTTAATAATAAAAACAATTTCCCATTTATTAAAGAAATGTTTATTTGTAAAGGATAAAATAAGGATAGAAGATAGGACAAAGATGTAATGCGGGAAGGAAAAAGCAAATGGTATTACAATTAAAAACAATTTTGTATCTTCCCTTTAAGCTAAACGAGTGAAGAAAAAGTAGGGCAAGAAAATATCAAACTATTATTAATAAACATAACACTTAGTGAATAAGCTAATGTGACGATAAAAGGTGTGGGAATACAAAAGTTTAAATTGAAAAAATAATGGAAGAATAGGAAGGGAAAAAAATGGCCGAGAATTAATGTGTAAAAATGATCAAAGGTTGATGGGATAAGAAAATGTATATTAATAATAAATAAATGTTAAGCCAAAAGATCACCTCTATTACTCATGATATTATGAATTTTGAATTAATAGACTCTTGGTCTCGAGTCTTGGAAAATTTTCGGTCTTGGAAGGCTCTATGAATTAAAGTCGAAAGTATAGACTTTGAAGAGTAGTTCGGAAAAATAAAAATAGAAAAATAAATATATATATATTTTTTTTATATAAAATCCTTTTGTTTCCCGAAGGAATAGGGTTTGCTTTCACCCCGAAAAATTCACTTTATTTACTTTAAATTACTCATAAATATACTCTATTCCAGAAGATCACTATTGGTTGTCTGTTTTATCCCAAAAGGAGGAAAAAAATGTCACAAATTTAGACTTAGTGGAATAAGAAAGTAGAGAGAAAAGAAAAATAATATATGTAGGTGTGTATGTATATTTAAAATCCGTTTATTTCCCGAAGGAATTTGGTCTTACATCCACTCCCAAAAATAGATTTTGACTAGCCAATAAATTACTAACGAATATACTCTTCCAGAAGATCTCTCTTGTTTTTCCTTTTTTCGAAGGAGAAGGGAAGAAAATTCTGAAGATTAGACTTTATGAAATAAGAAAATAGAGAGAAAAATATGTATAATATATTTATTTTAAATCCTTTTATTTCCCGAAGGAAGTGGTTTTACGCCGGCTACCACAAAACTTAAAATTTTATTATTTTTTTATTCCCAAAAATTTACATGCCCCGGGGTCTTATAGTTTTCACAAAAATTTTTTTTCTTTATTTAGGCCTTTAATTTTTAGTTTTAATATATATAAATTTAAAAAAATTACACCTACCTCCAGTATTCCACGTCGAGGTCGAAGGACCGGTGCTACCAATAGAGGTGGGACCCCGGAATAAGATATAACCAATGCGGTGGGCCCAAACCCCAGAATGATGGAATACGGGAGGAAATATGCCCGGGACTTTCTAAGAGGAACCAAAAGGGTTGATCAGGCCCCCGGTTGATCTCCTGCACCGGACACATACAATTAAACACACAATTTATATATTTATTAAATCCAAACAATTAAAACTCCATTAAAATATTTATTAAAGTGAAAGAACAATAAGACCCTTGTAAGGTGATTACAAATCCTTTTAAATGTGTGAGAAAAGTGGGAGGGAAATGAATAATAATAAAATGACTATAAACTATAGGAAACAAACTCCGAGAATACCTTTGACCCTTACATCATTCCGAAATTATTCGACTTTTGCAAGGAAAAGGATTGGGCCAGGAATGAGATAAGTCTAGATTTAAATATTTTTCCCTCGTTTTTTATAAATTAATTTTCTTAATTTAAAGATGTTGTTTATATTTCCAATTTAAACCATCAACATAAGGAGACTGTTCTAGCCGCATTAAATTCCAATAAAAATGTTTTGTGTGAAAAAACGTTAGCCGTAAATAAATTAGAAGTTGAAGAAATGGTTAAAAAAGCAAAAGAAAAGAGTCTTTTTCTTATGGAAGTAAATTTTGATTGAAAAAAATTTAAAAATTATTTTTAAAGGGTTATTGGACTAGATGTTTTCCTTTATGGAGTGATATTATGTCTAATCATTTAAATAGTTTGGGCAATACTGAAATGTTATCTGTCGAATTCGAATGTCCAATTAATGTAAATTTTAACTATTAATCGCTTTTATTTTTTCCACTGAATAAATATGTGATAAATTCAGTGCTGGGTGTTGGCACTTGTTGGCTCCGGCTCCTACCTTCTTCAAAACTTAGCTTCCGCTCCGGGGTTCTCAGGATTCTAGCTCAAGATCCTAGCTCAGATCCTAACTCTGGGGCTGGTCTCCTGAGCTATCTCCCAGATCCATACCCAGCTCTGGTTAAGTTTCCAAAAAAATTTTTTTTGTCCGCAAATCCTAAAATTATGTACGCAAAATTTTTGCGGACATAATTTTTAAAATTCCCTAATAAAATTTTTTTTTTGCTCTTCTCGAGTTATATTTAACCCTACTTTAAACATTTTATTTAAGCGTGTAGATACAACTTCTGGAATAAAAGACGGAGGAGAAGGTTATTTGTTAGCTTCTGGTTGTTATTGTTTAATGATTGCCCAATTAGTATTTAAATCAGAAAAACCTTCAGAAATTATTGTTAATGGAAAATTAAGAGAAAATGGATTGGATTGTTGGGCTAATATTTTAATTAAATATTCCGATAATAAATTGGCCAGAATTTTTTATTCTGGGGAGCATCGAGGTGATGGAGAGTTAAGCATTTATTGTGAGAAAGGAAATATTAGGGTAAGGAATTTTTAATATTTTTTTTATTTTAAAATAATTTCTTTGATTTTTAATTGATAACTTTGCTAAAATCTGTCAGCAAATATAAATTTTTTGTCCGCAAATTTAAAAAAATTTGTCCGCAAAAATTTTTGCGGACAATTTTGTTCCTTAATTCTATCCGCAACAATACATGCATAAATATGCATATACTAATTTTAATTAATTTTTACAGATCCCAGAATTCTTTTGGTGTCCAGAAGAGGCAATAATTCGTCGTTATCCAGACCCAAAAACAGTTCCACATGTACTTTCAGTTAAACCAACAACCGAAAATATAAATAATTACTTGCCAGAATTTAATTTATTTAATTATAATTACCCCAAAACTGCTGGACTTTTTTATCAGATAGATCATGTCAGTAATTGTTTGAGAGAAGGAAAGAAAGAAAGTGATTTAATGACTTTAAATGATTCGATTTTGTTGGCTGAGACTTTGGATGAAATTAGAAAACAATTGGGGGTTAGATACCCTCAAGACGATTTTTAGATTGATTTTTAGACGATTTTTTTAATAAAATGAATGTTTCTTGATAGATGAATAGTATACTAAATTTGGTAAAATTCATGTTAGTAAGCCCCTTCTATTTATTAAATGTGGTAAATTTAGACAGTCAGCGAAAAAAGATTTGAGCAAATGCTAATAAATTAGACTATTTAGATTACTTAGATAAGCATCTTCAAATAAAAATCCTTGGTAATCGTTAAGTTTGTGCTACCCCTTTTTTTTGGGCTGTAATGTAGTGTACCGAGGTAAAAGTTTGGGACGTGACATATGTCATTCGATTCGTCTCGACGAGCTGAGTCGAAGGTACCACTCACAATTTCAGGAAATGATTCTGGACAGAGTTATAGGTCCCGAAATATTAAAAACCATAGGGAGGAGTAATGTCGATTTTGGCATAATATACCTAATTCGGTCCAGAATGATTTTCTGAAATTGGGAGTGGTACCATCGACTCAGCTCGTCGAGACAAATCGATGACATATGTCACGTTCCGAACTTTCACCCAGGTACACTACACTACAGCCAAAAGAAAAGTCTTAACACAAACTTAACTATTACCAAATCCTTTAAATTTTTGGAGGTTAAAGTGTTATATAGTCCAAATCCGATATTAATCTAGATACTTGGATTTATCCACGATATCATCGGAATTTTATTAGAAATGAAGAAATATAATTTATATATGAAATTTAAAAAAACTGGAGCTGTAATAAGTTCTTGTTTCGAGATTTGAAAAAGTTTTTAGAGAGAAATTATATAAATGGAAACGTTGGTATACCCAAAAGTTCTTTAGAAAATCATTAGATTTCACAATAGTCAATAAATCCTTCAAAATAAATAAAATTTTATTTTTCATCGATATGTCAAGTCATGAGCTTTTCTAAACGAAATTTTGTTTTTAATTGAATAAACAAAAATGATAAATTTTAGCAAAAAATAAAATTTAAATTTTAGCCAAAATTGCCATAAAATACAAAAATAGAAATAAACCCTTTGAAAACTCAACTTTTTGGGCAAAAATACCCAGTTGTTTAAATATCACAAATAAAATTTTGTATCTGATGTTTGTGAGGGAATTCTTAAAGTGAAAAGTGCAGATTAGACAATATAAATCATCTTAATTAATTAAATCCTCCTTTTAATATATTTTTATTTCAAAAATATATTTTGGAGAATTTACTAATTAAAAAATTTTTATTCATTAATTACGAAAATATTAGACAGCCTTTTACAATTTTATTTATCAATTTATAGGTAATTTGTCTGAAATTGGGTGTCTTTTTCAATTTATATCGAACTGGGTTTTCTTTCAAATTGTTCCATTTCTCGGGTTAATTATTCCCTAAAAATAAAAAAAGGTATGGACAAAGTAAAAAAATTTTAAAGCTCGGGTCTTAAATAAATTTAGGAACTTGCTTATCGAGGAATCCTTGATCAAAAATTGGTTTTAGTTAAATTTAGAAAAAAATAGAGTTAAATTTTAAAAATTAATTAAAATTAGACAACATTGAACCGAGATATAGGGCTCGAAATGGTCAAAAACTATAGTGGTGGGTAATACTTTTTATGCGAGGTTAAGAAAATGTTCACTCTACCTCTTCAACGATTTCTTAAAAATTCGTTAAAAAGTACAATTTCCTAATATTTGAAAAAAATATTTTTCACATGCACTTTAATTCTCATAAACAGACTTATTATTTTTTAGATGGGATTTGTAATTTATTAATAAAATTATTAATAGATTGAACTCATTAAAGTTCTTGGGAATATTTCCCATAATTTTGTCAGCTATACTTTATCCGACTTCTACGAGGATTTGTAGCTTACTATAAAATCTTTTATCTTATAAATTTTTGATACACCTCCTTATAAATATCATTTTTAATTAAAATTAAAAAGCGGATTTGAAGGTTGAAGGGGATTTAAGATAGACATCTCATATTTTAACAAGGTCTCGGACGTCTAGACTGCTTAGGTAGCTTCCCAAAAACCCAGCAACTTTATAAAACAACTGCATTTATCTACCTAAGAGATACTCCCATTTATGATATTTATTATAAAATATAATTTTTCATAAATCCGACTTTATAAAATTAATTATTAAAAATTTATTAGATATGCAAATAAACTATAAATTATTTTCTTTTATTAAAATAATATTCTGTTTTGAATTTTATAAAATAATTGAAAGCAATCTTTATATTAAAATTGAATGGAGAAAATATGAGAAAAGTTTGCCTCCTGAATTATTTAATAAACTTGATCAAACGGATAAAAATCGGTTTGAATTGAAGCTTTATGTGGAAAAGTTACAAGATTCTGAAGGATACACTATTCATTCAAAAATGACAGAAAAATATGATTATTGTAAATTTACTAAGTATGAATTATCTACAAACGACAAAACGCCTGTAGATTTTCAAGGAAATAATTATACTTTGGAGGTTTTGTTTAATAAAAAGGTAAGAGCAGACACATTTTAGTAGCTCTTTTCTCAATGGCAAAATTCAGAATTACATAAAGCCTGTTTTAGTAATTAGAGATTTTGATTGTTTCGAGATCAAACAATCTATCTCTCTTTAATCTAGGGTTCAACCCGTTCCCCGGGGAAAGGAACGAATTGAACATCTCCACCCCCCTCCCTCCCTTACCCCCAGAGCCTACAAGAGACTTTCCTTTGAGAGGCCTATAAGAGACTTTTCCATAAGATCACTCCCTACTCAGTAAAAATCAACCCTATGTACTTTAATCTCACTACATATAATGATAGATTGTAGAGAGTTTGTGAGAGGCCTCGACAAGGTCCAATCCCTATTTATCAAAAAACTAATATAACTGGATTGTTTCTACAATACATATGTATTTAACATTCATATTAAATAGAATGAAATAGGTCGTCAGGAACGGCCACAATCCGGATTATCAATTAAATTTTGAAAATTAAAATTCTTTAATTTTAAAGATTTTGCTTGGGCCAGTGCAAATTGATGGGGGAACAGGCAAGGCTATCATAATTCCCTTGATTTCCTCAGAAAAAATAATATACAATTCTAATGATAAAAGAGAATTTTTGGATTTTGAGAGGCCTATAAGAGTGCTTAAATTTATTGTAAACAAATTTCAAAATAATCTAAAAATGAGTTTAATTTGTTTGTGGGGACGAAGTTTTGTATTTAAATTAGTAGAAGAATCAAATTATTATTCAACCTTATATCATTATCGTCGTGTTTGTACGGCGGATAAATATTTGCTTGTTATAGAGGACAATGAATATAATAAAGTAGGTTGATTTAATTGATTAGAGCCCGGCCTCGGAATATATTTATTAGTAAAATTTGTCGGACTTGGTGTACGTAATCAGGACTTTTTTTATCTCTTTATTAGACAGTTCAACTCTAAAATAAAACTTTAGAATTGCAAATTTTATTTATTATGAATTGAATAAATAAAATATTTTAATTCTTATAATTCCGGCAATCCCCCCCCCCCTTATAACGGTTACCGAATGGGTTACCGCCTGTTTCAAATAACCCTGGTATCAATTTATATGAAAATTTAAATTATTTAGCCTCCAATTCCAATTGTATGTGATGAAGCAATCTATGAAAATCAAATAGAAAATCTCTATATTATTACAATTCAAAATATTGAAGGAAATAATCCAAATAATATTTCTTCATTATGTAAATTGAATAGAAATAATCCACAAATGAAGGATATAAAAAAAATTAATTATGAACTGGAAAAATATAAAAAATTAAATAATAAGAGGAAACATGCTAGTAGTAGTCAAAGCTTTATTAATAATGAAACCACAAAAAATTTAGATTCTACTGATAAATGTAAGATAATTAACCAAAATAAATCCGGTTTTAAGTAGTACATATTAGTTCAACAAGCATAGGTAATATTTGTTCTATTTCTTACTTTTAGGATTATTCTCGACTCCTGTTAAGGGAAATCACGGGTTATCCAAAACCATAAATCTAAAATATCCGTAGAAAATTTTAAAAACCAGATACGAAACCCAACCAGATGTTTTTTATCCCTTACACGCTCCATTTGAAAATGATTTATTGGTCTGTAAGTTTTTCAATTCAAAATTTTCTACCTTGTAGGATGGGGTTTAAAAACATTTTAATATTAGATATATTATCATTAGAGCAGTGCACGGTCGGCTAACTGAACGAGAGCGAAAACGAAAACCTACGTTTTTGCTGAACCGGGTGTAGATAACTGGCCATACCCGAAACCGGGAGTACCAGTTAATAACCGGTCCTGCACAACTCTAATTAGTACACTCGAAACAAGATTTCAAGTGAATAGTCCAACAAGATTAATAATTATAAAATTTTTAAATTTATATTTTAGCAACTGATATCGAAAATACGGGAAAAAATCAACAAATGAAGGAAATCCAAACACATGGACGAGAACATTTTGAGGGCATTAATTTCACTAACAATATTAACGGTATAAATATTATGTATTTATCTAGGATGATAGTTTCTGATAGTCTACTCATTTTCGGTCTAATTCCCAATGGGATTTGTAGTCTCTACAGCGTTTTGAAGCTCGTACTAAAATAACATTCAGACTTTTTTTGTTTTGAGTACAAAAAAATCAGACCTTTACGATTACGAGAAAAAAGGCTAGTTACCGGACTATCCTAGTTTTCGGACTTGTACATATAGCTTTTACATAATTCTCAGCACATTAAGACTGGTATACCAAATTTTTAAATTTTTTCATACACAAAATGTCATTGCTTTTCCATTTTCTGCTGAATTTACTCTCAAAATTTTTTAAATAAAATACAGAGAAGCTTATAAATGATGCACAAAAACACGTGGAAACTTGCTCTAAAGCTATAAATACTTCACAAGATTTGTTAAAGTATATTTATGAAAATGAGAGTTTTGTAAAGGATGGAGTAGTTGATTATGAAGGGATTAAACGAATTGATAAATATTTGGAAAATA